TGATCGTTGCGGATCACCTTGTTGCTTTGTGCTGGCGAATCTTGGCGGATTCTTGCTTGGAAAGTCTTTTATCATGTCATCTCGTTCGACTCGCAACAGCCAGTCTGCAGCTCTCGATGCCTTATCCACCGCAGTTTCGGCCGAACCATCCTGTGCGTCGGCGATCGCCGATCCGGCGGCTAATCCCCCTTGCCCATTCGTTGCTGCTTCTCCTGCTGTCGCGGCCGTTGCTCTCCAGCAAGATCAGCCGTCTCCTGCCTTCCTGGCAACTGTTGTGCAAGCGGTGAAAGATGCTTTAGCTGCCGACCGAGCACCGGCCCGCTCGGTTCCTAACGCCAGTTCACAGCCTTCGACTACAACCATACTTGGGGGCGTTCCCGTTTCTTCGAGCAATCTTGCCTCCTAAGCCTCGGCCTTTTTGACCTCTGGCACCGGCGTTTTACCCACTTCTGCAAGCTCAGCGTCCCAAGGTAGGCCTAGTTATGTTGTGCCCTCCTTTATTTCTACTTTTCCGATTCCCTCACCTGCGGTGTCCCTTCCCTCGTTTGCTTCTGGGCCTTCCTCGTCAGCGAGCGTGTCCTCGTTTTCATCCCTTCCCGCGCTACAGCAACCGTTCGTCGTCGGCCCGGGTTTCTCACCCATCCCGGCCAAGTTGGTGGGCCAAATCGTCGCTGGCAAATTCGTCGACTTGAGCGAGCTGCTCTCCTCGAACATTGCTTCGGCGGAGCCCGAGCCTCAACTTTACTTCGAAGGACGGCTTGTTCTCACATCCACGCCAAAGAAACCCAAACGGCGCATAGAAGATATCACCAGCTGGCTGGAGGCCTTTTCCATCTAATGCCTCATTCTCGCTTCCCATTTCCCTCATCGCTGGAAAGACCTGATGAACTACCAGCTACTTATTTTGCGTACGCACCGACAATTTACTGGTCGGGTTTGGTTCGCATATGACCGTGCATTCCGCGAGCACGCGGCAGCTACGAATCTAACCGAGTGGTCGTCCATCAACGTCCAGCTTTTTAATTTCCATGCCGCGGGAGCGGCTGTACGAGCCTCCAACGCTCCTGTAGATGGTTCTCCCGAGCCTCGTGGATCTGCCTCCTCGACTATTGTGTGCAAGTCGTGGAATCGGGGACGGTGCGTGGCCCCCTATGCTTCGTGCCGTTTCGCCCATATTTGTTCGAACTGTTCTGGCCTGCATCGTGTTAGTGCTTGCCCTGGCCAAACATCAAACCAACCCAATGACACCGTGAAGCGGCGTTCTGCCTCCCCTTCAAGATCCAGGAGCAAATCCAGGCGTCTTTGAACTAAAACAATTGCTCGCTTAGGTTTTTTCCCGAGAGCTCAAACTCTCTGTGTTTTATTGCTATGTCCTTGTTAACCTTGCCTAGTCTACAGTCGTTACTTTTTTCTTGAATTAAAGCTTGTTGGTTCAGTTGCTAGTTAATCTGTTTGTTATCTTGCTGTCCCCCGTAGTATTACTATATTCTCTTTGTCTTATCTTTTTTAGGGCCCCTTCCCCTAGTTTCGTCCGTGACCCCCCTGCAAGCAGATCAATTTGCTTTGGAACTTCAGCATCATCCTGACCGTCAACTAGTGAACTATGTGCTGGATGGGATTAGTAATGGGTTTCGGGTGGGGTTCTCCCCGTCGCACAAGCTCAAGTCTGCCAAGAATAATAAACCTTCTGCGCTACAGCATGCTGCAGTGGTTGATGAGTATTTGGCCCATGAAGTTTCCTTAGGCCGGGTGGCAGGCCCCTTTACTTCCCCCCCTTTACCCAACTTGCACGTTAGCAGCTTCGGGGTTATTCCCAAGCGGGGGCAGCCGGGAAAGTGGCGCTTGATTGTGGACCTTTCTTCCCCTGGGGAGGGCTAGTGTCAATGATGGAATCAATCCCGACGAGTTCTCCCTTCACTATATCACTGTAGATAAGGTGATTCGCCTAGTTTCCCAGTTTGGCCGAGGGGCAGTTATGGCCAAGTTTGATGTGGAGTCTGCCTACCGCCATGTTCCGATCCACCCACTGGATCGGTACTTGCTGGGAATGAAATGGCGCCATCATTTTTACGTGGATTTGGCTCTCCCGTTCGGTCTTCGCTCGGCACCCTACATTTTTAACTCCATTGCAGACCTGGTGGAGTGGATCCTTATGAACAATCATCAGATCCCTGACTTGCTCCACTATTTGGATGATTTTCTTACCGCTGGCCCCCCAGATTCTCCTCAGTGCGCTCGCAATCTTACAGTCGCTTTGGCCGTTTGTGATCGTCTTGGCTTACCTCTCCACCCTGGTAAGTGCGTGGGTCCTTCGTCGGTGTTGACAGTTTTAGGCATTGAGCTGGATTCTGACCTTCAGATGGCACGCCTCCCCGTGGATAAGCTGCAGGCTCTTCAGGGGTTAATCCACTCTTGGCTCCCCCGGACTGGGGGAAATGGTGCTTCAGACAAGAATTGGAATCTCTAATAGGACATTTACATCATGCTGCTAAAGTAGTCTGGCCTGGTAGAACCTTTGTCCGCCGTATGATTGACCTACTCTGTTGCTTTCGGAGGAGGGATCATCCTATCCGCCTCAACACTCAGTTTCATCTTGACCTGCAGTGGTGGCATAAGTTCTTGTCTGATTGGCATGGCGTTAGTTTTTGGCTTTTTCCTGGCCTATCTCCGGAAGCGGATATTGAACTTTCCTCGGATGCAGCTGGCTCCCTGGGCTATGGGGCCTTTCTGAGAGGCCTCTGGTTCACGGGTTTGTGGTCTCCTCTCCAAGCACAGCAGTCCGTTGCCTACAAGGAACTGTTCCCTGTGGTCGTTGCGGCTCACATTTGGGGACACATGTGGTGTCGGAGGCATGTCCTGTTTCACTCGGACAAAGATGCGGTCGTGCATATTTTGAATTCAAGAACGTCCAAAATCCCTTGCATTATGCATTTATTGCGCCATCTTCTATTGTCAGCTGCTAGACATAGTTTCTCCTTTTCTTCCCAGCATGTACCGGGGGTCAACAACCAGGTTGCTGATGCATTATCTCGTTTTCATTGGCAGCGCTTTTGACAGCTGGCTTCCGAGGCGCAGCGGTCTCCTACCTCAGTTCCCCCTCAGCTTCTGGAGGAGTTGACCTCTCCGCTTTAGAGCTCCAATGCCAGTCCTTTTTGTGCCAGGGTTTGGCTCCCTCTACGCGTCGATCCTACTCCACGGCTCAGTCCAAGTTTATAGCCTTTTGTCACCAGCTCGGCGTGCTCCACTCGTCAGGTTCCCCCTGCCCGGCCGATGAATGGACGCTCTGCTTGTTTGCCACGTTTCTAGCTAAGACTGTCCAGCACGCATCCATCAAAGTTTATTTGTCTGGCGTAAGAGCTCTTCATATTGATCAGGGGTTCTCAGACCCAATAGCCGGTTGCCTTCGCCTCCGTCGGGTTTTACGAGGGATCAAGCGTTGCCAAGGTTCTCCTGTTGCCAGTCGTTTGCCGATCACGGATGACCTAATGCTGGTTATTTGGAACTCTCTGGACCTCGGCCTCCCCGACCATTGCATGTTTCGGGCTGCTTGCTGTCTTGGCTATTTTGGTTTCCTCCGCGCTTCAGAATTCACTGTACCAGACCTGGCTAGTTTCTCCCCATCACTCCATCTTAGTGTCCAAGACATTAGCGTGGACTCCATGGTCTCTCCATCCTGCATGAGAGTTCACATCAAGGGCTCCAAGACTGACCCTTTTAGGCAAGGTTGTTACGTCCACATTGGTGCTGGCCATCTGCCACTTTGCGCTCTATCGGCACTGATGACTTATCTCTCGCTGCGGGGCAATTCTGCGGGCCCTTTATTCTTGCTTCAAGACGGTCGACCTCTGTCCAGGGCTACCCTCACTGCATGGCTTCGACAAATTATGGCCTCAGCCCGGGTTCCTGGTAATTTTTCCAGCCACAGTTTTCGCACTGGGGCGGCCACAGTGGCTGCTCGTAATGGAGTTCCAGACCATCTTATTCAAGCCATGGGCCGTTGGTCTAGCAACGCCTATCAGCTCTATATCAGGACTCCTTCGGCGTCGCTGGCTACACTTTCGCAGAAGCTAGTTTGACATTACTTATACATAAACAAGCAAAACAAATCAAGCAACAAAAAAAAACACACACACAACAACAAAAACAAAAGCAAACAAAAACAAAATAAACTCCAAGGTCAAGGCCTGGTCTACTCAACTATCAGTGCTCTAGTTTTTCAATGGCAACACAGGGTATACTTGGTCATTTTCGGCTCTCCTTTACCTACTGCTCGCTGGGATGAACTCTGGGACTACTAGCTTGGTCATGGAGGAGAAAGTACGCGTGAGCTCCTGCTGCACGGTGTGAACGGTGGCTATGCCTTTCATGATGCACATCTGGTCTATTGCCTCTGGAGTCCGCATTGCCGCACCACAAGCATGGGGCTTTCCTGGACTGCTTACTCAGCGGTAAGTCCCCTCCTAGCTAGCAGGCTTGCCTTTGGTCCGTCTCTGGCTTGGGGTTTCTCTTTGGATGTACGGAGGTACCAGGCTTCCCATTGTTCGCGGGTCCCTCCGTTCTCCAAGCACTTGGAGACGGATGTGTTCTTTGGGTGGTTCCCGCTTCCAGGGTTGCCTGGTTACCTCCTTTGCCGTATTTTTCACAGTTGGCCTCCCCGCTAACCTTTTAGGCACCAGTTCCCAAGCTCATCAATTGGCGATGAGTTTAAATGCGGCTAAATTTTATTTAGGCTAAGTTAACCTCGAGCCAATGCAGCCAGCGGTGTCCCCGTATTAGCATGCGTGACATGCGGGGTGGCCCACTTGGGTTTTCAGGGCCGCTATCATTTTGCATTATTTTGCAAGCTATTCTAGCTGATCGTTGCGGATCACCTTGTTGCTTTGTGCTGGCGAATCTTGGCGGATTCTTGCTCCCTCTCCTCCCTCCCTGCTGTCATGCGGGGGTGTGCAGGTAAGTATTCCACGTGGGTAAGTATTTTCCACTGAGTACCCTCTCAGTGTGACGGTGCCAGTTAGCGGCTGCTGGCAGGGGTGGTTCCCGCTTCCAGGGTTGCCTGGTTACCTCCTTTGCCGTATTTTTCACAGTTGGCCTCCCCGCTAACCTTTTAGGCACCAGTTCCCAAGCTCATCAATTGGCGATGAGTTTAAATGTCGTTATTATGTTGAAGGGTAACTCTATTAAAGTTCATGCAAAGACTCGACCACAGTGACAGCTCGCACTAGAAATGAGAACCGGCTGGCCGTATGGGTGATTTTGGAATTGTTTTGAACGGTTTCGCTAAAAGCCCACGATTGATCGTCCTGAATATTGACTAAGTGTAATTTGTCTTGAAAAATTGTGAAATGCCGCATTCTGTCCGAGGTTCGTATGATAAATAGAATTGTTTCACCTCAGATGTGATGTATATTAAAAGAGTATGAAAGGTTGGTTTACACACCCCTAGATTTGTTGGCAAGAATTTGTAAAGTAAACCTGTCGAACGCAAAAAAAATTCGGCCTGATTTGTTTTCCAAGAATTTGTTTTTGAGGCCTAATCTACTGTGGTCAAGAGCCATTATGGCTCTTGAATGTGATCGAACATGTTTGCTATTTTTTGGGTGTACATATAAGGCTATCAACTCGATGTAAGATGTTGCAGTCTAAAATAACTTCGCCTTTCCCTCAAAAGTCACATTAATGTGCCCTTAAGTTAACCGATTTGTGGATTACAAGTTTATTGTTTGATTTTAATTATAAATTTATTAATGGGAGCTTCGCTTTTAGCCCTGGCTAAATCTATATATTAGTAAAAACAACTACAACACTCACAGTAACACCAATTCCAACACTCAGACCAACATTAACTCTGGCCCTGTTATGACAGCGACTATACCGTACATCAGAGGCATGTTTACTATTAACAACATATGCAACAACATGCATATGCATTGCACACAAACCAATAACCATTTTATGATAACTACTTACTAATGTTAAGGACAAAGAAAAACCAGACGACAGAGAGGGGGCAGCATGCAAGATCAAATGCTGTGACTGCCATGTCGCTTACTTTGGTGAAAACGGCAGAAACCTTTGCACGTGACTGACTGAACACAAAAAAGAGACAAGAAATGATGACATCAACAACAATCATGTTGCTTAACACATTCTACGTAACATCAAATTGACTGAGACTCTGCAACATGTATTACCTATATCTATTCTACAGACTACTATCAACGACTCACTTTAGAAAGCTGGTTTACTTGAGAACAAACACTGCTGAATTGTAGTCAACAGTTATCGGCACTGTACAAACAACTTTTGACTCAAGCAAAATTAAGTACAAAAGAATGACTGGACAACTGATGATTTGACTAACAATAAACGACTGTTTACTGTGGCAACAGCAGAGATGGCAACCTCTGAAAATCTAAAACCTGGAGACTCTTTCTTTTACATTACGCCCCCACCCCCCCCAATACAAACCATTCACCCCCAGACTCCCCCCCCGCCCCCCCCCCCCCCACCACAGACAAACACCACATGTCACCTCCCCTCAGACACGAATCCACCCTTGCACAACCAACGTACACCAACCACT